GGAGTAGAGGAAGAATGGCGCTTCTCAATGCGATGAGGTGCCCTGCTTCAGAGGTGAAGCAAATGCTTTTAAACTGGGTTAAGCACGTTTGAGCAAAGAGCTGATAGCTGAGAAAAGATCTCAAACTAATAGAGAGCTATGAATAAAAGCTTTGGAGCAGAACTTGCAAATGCAACCCACCTTTGACTTGTGTCTTTCATTCTGGAGTTCAGTAGCTCTGTATTGCAGACAGTAAAGAAGATCAAGGGGTGAGCAATCTTTAGAGCTATTTGCTCATCGGTAAGGTGATTTTTTCAAATCTTTTTTTTTTTTTGGTGTTCAGTTGCCTTTGCAGATCAGGACTAATAAAAGATGCACATTGACACTATTTGGCACTTTAATATCTGGACCCATGAAGAGTTCCTTCATAGCCTAATAAATTTCTTAAGCTTAAAGGATGAGAGTCTCCACACTCTGCCACGTATCATTCCTTTTCCATAGCTACCCCATGGTGTGGGTGCTTCGCTGTGCGTCTGGTTTTCTGGTTCTGCATCTGAATTTACTCTTGGCCCGTAGTAGGACAGGCAGCGTGTGTACGGGGTTGGTGGGCAGGCGCTGTGTTGTAGCAGAGGATGGGTGTGCTAGCAGAACCTCCATGGGAGGGTCACCTACCCCAGCAGCTGACAGAGGGTTTCTTAGGGGTTAAAACCTGGGGGAGCTGGGACTGGGAGCTCGGACACTGTGACTCCTGGCCATACTGGTACATGTCTCCTACCTTCCTGCACTGCCCCTGGCTTCTGCTAGGTGTATTGTTAGGTTGTTCGGAAACAGTTTGGACTTGAGACTTTTCCCTCTGTCTTTGGTTCAGGGCCCCACTGTGGCTTTCACTAATAAGTGGTACTGTGCGAGGACAAGCTTATCAATTGAAGAAAGGCTGATTATTTCTCAGTGTCTGCTGTTCTTCAGCAGTATTGCCTCTGCCTGTCCCCGCATTCCTCTGCTCCCCTGGGAAGTTCATTTCCCACCAGACTGTCAGGTGTCATTGAAGAATGGTTGAGAACCGCTTGGCCTCTTGCAGCTCCAGATGCTCGCTGCGTTTCTGCAGTCCCGGCTGTTGCTGTGCTCTGAGGTCTTTAAAGTCTAGCCAGCACCAGCTGGGGACGTATTGGACAAGTTCTCCGCTGGAACGTGACCTTTCTGTCAACAGCTGGGTGATTCCTGCTTGCACTGAGATTTTAGGGAAGCTGCTGTATGTCATAACTGCAATAAATGTAATTGTGCTTTGTTGGATGAATTTGAACCGTCAGAGTAGAGCTTTGGGTTAAACTGCTTTTCTGAGGGTATTTATTCTGATAGGTCTGAGTTTTATAAGAGGAGTGTATCCAAAGCAGGTAGAATTCACATGGCTTTTCTTCGTTGATAACAAAATGCATCGTTGGGGTTTTTTGGGGGCCTGTTGGTGGCATTTTGAGGAAGAGTTGTGTTGGGTATTTCTCACTTTTATTGTTACTTATTTTTAATGTACATACAGCCATTTCTTTTTGTCCCATACCTACTTGCTCCTCAGGGAATCCTATTCCTTCCTGTCTCCCTTCCTAGCCCTTTTACTACTGCTTATTCGCTTGCTTTCTTCTCTTACCTGCAGTTCCGTTTAAATGAGTTTGGACTGCTAGAAATCATTACTGAAGTAGAAGCAGAAGCCATAAAAACTCTTTCAGCCTCAGCAGTAAATGCCAGCCCAACCAGCTTTGCTCCTGCTGCTATCAACGCTTCCGCTGCCTCTAGCACTGATTTGGAAGGTGAGCTTTTTGCTGTGGAAGAGAATATACAGTTTCTGAAAAAGCTTCTAGAAACAGGTCTAACTGAAATGCGCGTTTCAATAGCGTGGTGCTCCCTGGCGCAGCGTGTGGAGTGAGTCACTGTCTTATTTCAAATATTTTAGGAGTATTTAGAATGAATGTAATTACTGCATAGTCATAACAGTACCTGGCGCATGCATTGTGCTCGCCTTTGTGGAAGGTAAGTGTGGTTATATAAATGATCTGCGCTAGATTTGTCAATGTAGTCAAACATCTCTCTCATGCTGAGTTTTAACGTACATCCTGGGATCTCTTTAACTGGTGATTCTGGGAAGTTGGAGCCCCTTCTTTCCAGGGTGGTGGATCAGCAGTGACGTCAATGTTTCTCCTTAACACTGGCGATCTACTTGTTATGACAGCAATTAAGTCTGCATCTGTATTAAACTAAACTGCCTGTTTGGGGGCTTTGAGACCAGAATGGTCTGGTCATATATACCCTATTAAATACTCTCAGCCTCCAAAACAGAGCGGTTGCACCACTGGGCAGCGTCTCAGCTCCATGCTACCTCCCAAACGATGCTTGGGAATTGCTCGGGATGGTGCTAGGCGCCCTAGGCCAGAAGTGCCCCAGGGCTGTGCTAAAGATTCATGTAGCTGAGTTGCAAGACCTGGCACTGTTTGATTTACAAACAGTTTATTTAGTTTATTTAGCAGCCTTAGCTGACTGCTCTTGGGGGCGACAGGACCTTCCAGCATTATTCCTTTCTCCGGTTGCATGCATTATGCTGTGTGGAGCAGGAGTGGATGGCACGGTGCTGTGCTAACCTGGTGTTCCTGGCTCAGGATGGATCCCCAGTAGTGTTAGTTACCTTTGCAAGAACATCCTTGACAATCTCCTCTAATCTGGCTCATGCCAGGAGTTACGCTACTAGCCATAAAAGTTTTGAGGTTTCCAAGGTTACTGTAATTGAAATTAGGGAAAAACTGAGTTTTAGCAGGATAATACAAGCATGTTACTGGGCACGCACATCAGTGTAATGGACAGGAAACACCTCAGTTCTTTGCAGACCTGTTCTTACTCTGTTTATGCAGAAACCAGTAGCTCAAAAAAGAACGTTTATATGATAACCTCTGAGCTCTTTCATGCCGGACCACTCAGTTAATCTGGCCAGCCTCATTTACTTTGGTAAATCACTAGTTTCCTTTGATTAAATTCCTCGGTGTTTCAGTAGAGCTCCCTCTCAGATGTGCCTGGGTGTCTTCCAGAGAGTACTAGTGGAGACCAGTGCTAGGGAGTGAGTGACGATTAAGAGCTCTCATCCCAAGAGTACTATTAGCCATCCAGCGCAAGGTCATATTTCAAAGATGCTCTTGGTGAAATGTGGCAGCATGTGGTTGTGGCTTAGGGAGTCCTTGATAGGTTTGTCTGACGCCTTGTACCAAAACAGATTTTCTTCTAAGGTGGTAGAAGGAGACTGGAGAATTGCCTTGGGACACAGAGGCACCACAGGACAGCAGCTGGAGTCTCTTCAGTGTCTCATTGTCTTTGACATCACCAGTGCATCCTGGTGCAGTAATTGAAAGGATGTTAACTCTTTGTATAATGTCTGTGTTAGTGATGCTGGATCCCTGCTCAAGGCAGGGCTGCATCACTGAAGTCGTACATACCTGTGGAGGAGAGAACGATCTCTCCTCTTGTTGCCTGCCTGGACAAGTGTCTGCCAGTTGGCTTTCCCCAGGATTTTGATGGAACTATTTCTGGTTTTGGGTAGGAAGGCTTTGTACCTGTCTTCCCTGCTGGCTTTTCTCATCTCGAATGTCATTGTAAGCTCTGCAGATTCACTTACACTTACAGGCATTCGTTTATGCTCCTGCTGATTGTGGGTCCTTCTCCTCGTCTGCACGAGCTGAGGAGATGTCAATCCATCAGGCAAAGAAGTGGCTCTTACATGGACACCTCAGCACGAAGAATTTTTGACACCCTTTCAGTCCCAAGTGTATTCCATTGATCAGTGTGACTTCTAATCGAGCAGAGCTCTTCAAGCGCTCTTTGTTCTTGCAAGTTTTCCCTGTTTTGTCTTTTCCCTGCCTGGAATCATTGGTCCCTGACGGCACAGGGAGAGGCTTTAAGTTGCGATACAAGCAGGCATGCGTGCGCTCTGTGCGTAGGCAGTCTATCTGCCCAATTCCAGCCAGGGCCATCTGACATCCATATTGGGCTATAGGGAGCAATCAAGTATAAATGAAAAATGTCAGTTGTCTTAGCAGAATGAGTACAAGTGCTGGTAAGGAGACTATGAAAATGTTTTTAAACAAAAAACAAAGTGACTCATATCTCAGCATTCTGGATTGTGAGATGTGGTGTGGTTATTTTTCTTTTTTTTTTTTCCTTTTGAAGTGTTTAATGGTGCATTCAAAAATGGATTGATCAAACCAGTGCATGCAAACGGTGACACAAAATGCAGAACAGAAATGCTGTATATGTAGGAGCTCCCATGCACAATTTGCAAATTGAACAAAGTATGCATGGGGGTAGCGGAGATGCTTGGTAATGAGGACCACCGCAATTGTGTTTTGTTAAAATATAAACATAAATTAATTTGTACTAGGAAGAACTCAATTCATAGGAGAAAGTAAACATAAATTATGTAGTGGAGTTATGACTTACATTTTCATGCTTTCATTCAGATGAAAGATTGATATGTATCCCTTGCTAGATATAGAAATAATTGTTTCTATTCTCCCATCAATAATGTCCTATTTTTAGAGGCTACCTATGAAGGATTTTCATACGTACAAAGTATATAAAAAGCCTGAAGTTTTTAAACTTAACGAACCGTATTAAAAGTATCCAAACAAGACGGACTTGTTTGACACTTGTCTTTCAAGTTAGAGGGTTACTAGGAATAAAGAAATATAAAAAGATTTGTAACTATGTCCTGGTTGATATAGCCTTGAGATTATATCCTCCTTTATCACTTTTACAGGGGGCAAGGCTTCTCCAAAATTAAAATATTACAGAGAAAAGAGGGTTTTCTTTAATGAAAAAACTTTCTGTGTGCCAGGGCACAGATAATAATTACTTCCCTCACAAAAGGATACTGAGGGTCACTTAATTAAAGTTTATAAAGGACTTTGACAGAACTAATTGCATGAAAGGTGTTTAAAGATACAAAGTTTAGCATCTTAATTTAATAGTTGTCTTTTTCTTTGCTTCTACAGTGCCCAGAGGCAACGTGCCCTGCTCTGATTTTCAAACCTGTGAGCAAATGGATTGCTTTGAGAACGGAAAGTTTTGTACTCAGACGGGTTCCCAGCAGCACAGGGACAGGTAAAGAAACCTCAGACTCTTCCTGTTCTGTGTTTAAAAATGTTTAAAGAGAACATCGTGTTAGAGAAAAGCATTGCTGTGAGTAAATGAAATCCTCAGAGCAAGCGTTACTGTGGCACGGCTGAGGGAGAGCCACCTGCACATCTCTGCCCATGACCTTCCTGCTGCCCTTGAGGCTCCCATGCCCGATAGAGGAAAAGCTCCTCTCTAGAGCTCCGTCCTCGTTTCTCTTCCCAGCCTGCAGAAATGCTGGTTGTGTCCTTGATGCCTTGGTTCCCCATCATACAGATAAGGATGATGTCTTAACTTCCCACAGAGTTCTTAAAAGGCAAAATTAAAAACCCTCTTGAGCTGCTCTGGTGGTGAGAGCTGTGCTGGTACTTTGGAGTGCTTTTAAAAGATTTATATCTGGCAAATCCTGCAGACACGATTCGTTTCTTTAGGTTCTCGGCCCAGGCATCCTCATTCTTCTAAAGAGGTACAGAGACACTGGGAATACTGCAGGAGTATTGTTGCACTTTTAATTTGATTTTGTTTTCAATTTTGGATGTTTAGTAATACCAGAGACATTCCAGATGATTGCAGAAACAGGGGAAATAGTAGAAATCTTAATACCAGCAGTGGCTGTCAGGTGAATGACGCTGACAGACCTGTCAAACGTCTCCGACGGAAGAGAAGACTGCTTCTGGAGTCTGAGGATGACGAGGAAAATGCAGATGAGGATGAGGTAAATGAGGCTGCATGTATTTTCTTTAAAGAGAACTGTGAAGAGTAGGGACTGTTCTGTGTCTCAGATTTCACTGTGCAATGCAAACTGAGCTGAGGGAGGTTGTTCTGTACCCATGAGAACGGTCTGGGTCTGATCCTGATGTACATCAGCAATGAGAATATCTGTTCTGACGTCTGAGGAGTCATAAGGGTGAATAGCTCATGTGAAGTCAAAGTCAAGATTTCAGACTGTACCTTTGTAGGTGTAGGAGTCCTATGCACCAAGTGTATGTCACAGTGATAAAAATACATGCCTCCAAAAATACTTGATTTAACTACAGTCAAGTACTATTATGTGATATTGAAGATTAGTGTCAAACCACAGAGTTGGATTGCTTTGTATTAGGTACTTGCATGTACAGTCACTTCACTACTAGAAACCTGTATTAATGGCAGATGAATAGAAGTATCTCAGTCCTGACCTGATCTTTTCCTAACTTTCTTTAAGCATCTTACTCCCTTTAGGGGTCCTTTGTGCAAGCCTGCCCTCTGCTACATGTGCATAGCGTCTCAGGCCTGAACCATTTTATTTCTATTCACATATTGCACATGCTTTCATAATGCAGAGACGCTGGGGTAGGTGTTCATTGGTAATGCAAGCTGAAACTTCTGATGTCATGAACAATTTAACTCATCCTGTTGCTCAGCTTTTCTCTGTGATGTGTATAAGATGTTCTAAAGTATGTATGTTTGCAGAAGTACTTGCATTCTGTCTCTTCCCCCCTCTCCTCCTCCTCGTTTCAAAGTGCCCCTCTGTCTCTTCTGGGGCATGTTTGGCAGGCAGCTTTGCATTTCAGATTTTGCCCTTTTTGGTTTGCTTTGAGAAATGACAACCCTGGGTGAATTAACATGAGTTTGAAAACTACATAGAGGGAATGTGAATGGCAGTCTGGCTCGGAGTGTGACACAAGGAGACCACATTCTCTGGGGTGTTCATCTACGACAGTAGTTACTTGAAGCTCCTACTTCCTTCAGGGTTCATAAATGACTTTTTTTTCTGTATCCATTCCCTGGCATTCTCTGAAAGGAAAAGAAAAATGGAGCGTTACAGTAAGGTTGCTTATGTGAGCAGTAAATCCTGTGTATTGTAATGGAGATTTTGGGCCAGTGCTGCTCTTCAGTAGCCGTATTTAAATGAACTTTAGTAGCATATATTAAATAATTTGTAAAGCACTTTGGGATACTGCAGGATCAAAGTTATGTATGTAACATACCCTACTAATGTTCTTGCAGGGTTATTCAAAAGAAAAGAATGCTAGCTAATAGTCCTGTTAGTTACATGTTACATCCTTATTGTACCTGCATTGTGAGATGATCAAAGAGGGAGGAGAAAACAATATTGCTAAACTTTTTTTTAACATATCTGTGTCTAGGAGAAGAATAAATCAAATAATATGAAAAGCCGCAGAAACACTAAACCAATAAAACAAGGTGAGCTAAGCTCATAGTCTCTTTTCTTTAATGTTTATAGATTATTATTTTTTTACTAGCTATTATAAGATTAGTAATAGTAAACAGAAGAGGAAAGGACAGTAGAGCTCATTTCACATTCAGAATAGCTTATTAGGTACATAACCCTCTTACCACAGTCAGTCTTCTGAAACGTATTGGCAAGACTATACTAGATTTGCCCACGTGATGGGCACAGTGTAGCGGATCTAGGAGGAGACAGCTCGATCCAAAGCTCACTGAAGCCAGTAAGAATCTCTTTTCCATTGACTTTGGAGAGCTTCATAGCCACAGACTACAAATGCTAAATAGAAAATAAGTTGTAAACAACCTGTGATTGATTATAGACTCTGGGTTACATTTATTATATACCTTAAAGGAGTTAGCATATGTAAACTGGGGGGAGATTTTTAATATTCATTTAAAACGTGATTTTCTGTCTGTATGACCGTGGTCTTACTAGAATGAATCCAAGCACCTGCCCAAGTTGTTGTTTTCATCATCTGTGTACTGGTAGCTGCCTCTCTGGTAGATGCATTGTGGTATTAGCAGTTATAAATAGATGTGTATATATATCTCTCAAAAAATCTTGTGAACTCAACAGAAATTCACTTGGTTTTTCATTTGTTTTGTTTTAGGTTTATTTCAGCTGCAATTATATGCCTCTTTGTGCTGTCTTTTAGTTTATATCTAACCCCTTATTCCTCTGTGAAATACTAGGAGAAGAAATTATTTTCTACAATTTTAAGTTATTATATCTTGTTCAAACTTTATGGTGGCAACTTTCCATGGGCAGCTTGCCAGCAATCCGGGTGCCACGATTCATTTGACCTGTGATATAATAATTAATTTTTTTTTTTTTTAAATGAGAAATGAGCACAGTTTTCCTACTGCTGGAATTCATACCTTTCCTCAAAAGTTGGGTAACACTGCCTCCTTTGGGGTACAACAGCAAAACAGCGTTGGCATGTACGTGGGAGGAGAAAGAGAAGAGAGGGCAGAGCGGGAGGCATCTGAGAGAAACATTCATTTTTCTCTTTGTTTTTGATTGCTTAGCTGTTCCTGGAAGGAAGAAGGTATGGAACTGGGCTTCCTACTTAGAAGAGGAGCGGATGCCAGCTGCTCCCCTAAAACTGTTCAGAGAGGTTGGCAGCTTTTTCAACTCTCTTGCTATGTTTTTTCTAAAGCAACATCACAGAATTACTAACTCAGTGGGGGTAGGATTGGAGACTACCCTCAAGCCAGCAGTTACATTTATGACTTGTTTTGGTGCAAGCAGGCAGTAAAAACCCCATGTTTGTTTCCAGCCCTGAAGCACTGTGGAAACAAGCATCTGCCCTGTGAGTCTCATCCCAAACCAGGGTGTAAAAAATGCTGGTTGAATCTCACTCAGAAATAAACAATGACTGTTTCGATCTGCTTTGGGTAGCTCTGGATAACCAGGCTGTTAGGCAGTCTCCAAATAACGTTGGAGAGGGACAGCTTAATGTCTTTCATATGTCCTGTGCTACGTCTGGTTGTACAACACCCCTTCCATCCTTCCTCTGCAGAAAACTGCAAGTCAGTCAGCTCTGTGAATGTTGTAGATTGTCTCAATGATAAGTGGCTGTTAGGAGGAAGGGTGGGAGTTGTGTTCATTCACAGTCCGATGCGTTGAAGGTGGGAGAGGATGAGTTTGGCCTTGGTGAAGCTGCTTCTGCACTCCAGCGCACCAGCCCACATGAAAAGTTTAGCTCCTAGTGAGCTCTTCAAAGCCAAGAGCTGTTGGCACCTTATGGAGTGAGATGAGAAGGAAAGTCAGGTAACCGCCGTGGATGCAATAAGCCGTTTGCAGTTCCTGTTCAGATTTTAAGCCTTTATTATGCTTGAAATGTTTAGTTTGGATTAAGACTGCAAATAAATGAAAAACACAAATGTTTTCTGGAATGACTGTGTAAACGGGCTCCAGATCAAACATGCCTTGTCCCTTTTACCATTTGAAGATGAGAAGTTACCTTTTGGGAAAGTCTGGGCTGCTGACCTCGTGATTTTAGCTTTCCTGGCTCTGTTTGGGCTGTGAAGGGGATTGTTTTGTGTTTGAATAGAGCTTGTTTCTGCATCTGCTGGAAGATTTATTCATAGCTAATTGCAACAGGCTCCTGGTTCGGTGTTTTTGAGATTAATTAGAATAACAAGTACATCTGAAATATGGTGATCATGCCGTTAGTGATCTCTGTACCTGCACCTGTCTATTAAAGCAGCAATCATTTAGTGATAGAATTTTCTTAGTTGAGAATTTGAAGCCTTAAGTATATCTGATGACTACTCTGAAATAAATTTTTGTCTTCAGGAATTAAAAGCAAATGTTTTCTTCTTTCTCCCTTCTCACAGTATCAGTCATTCCCACAAGGCCGAAATGGATTTAAAGTTGGAATGAAATTGGAAGGGCTGGATCCTGAACACCCCTCTCAATTTTGTGTTCTCACAGTGGCTGAGGGAGGTGCTCTTTCGATCTTTTA